TCTAAATGCAAATATCAGAATAACACAAGAGGCAATCAAACATCCTTGATGAAGGGCTCACTCCAGGCATCAGGAGTGCATGGACATCCAGAATGGGTGCAGCCACAGGAGCCTGCCCGAGGCTTGGACAGACAGTGGGATAGGGTGTGAGCTGCATGGGGTGATGTTACAGAGGATATACAAAGAGGTGAGCAGGGAAAGTTCACTGGTGAGTCTCCATATGACTGAGCTAGTCCTATTTCCCATTTGACTTCTGTCTGAGCTCCCCTTTTTCAGTCTGCTAGACGAAAACACCAAAAAGTAGGTGCTTAAGGGGTGTACCTGCCTCTTCTCCACTGTTAACACTTCAAAGCAGTTCTCAGGGTCTGGATCGTGCAAACCAGTTTTGGCCATATGGGCCACCCCATTCTGCAGCTGCACTCGGCCCTGGGAATTGCTGTCAGATTTCCCCCGACTGGAAAAAGGGAAAGATGGAGCGCATTACAAATTTTAAAGCTTGTTACACTGCGCAGCCCCAATAAACATGGAAACCATCATGATTCCATTTTATCCACTTAGGAGGGTGCAAAACAACCTGTGGCCCTTTCTGTGCCCTGTTCCAGGCCCTTGCCTGAGAACCTGAGAACAAGGCCCAGACCTGTCAAGAAGGAAGCATATAAGCTTTGTTGGGTTTTGAAGGGATTATGACTCTTGCCACAGAGGAAATGCTTTTACACCACTTCCTGCCTTATTCAAAGGCACTGGGAGGTGGCTACATATATCCTCTCTCTGCCTAGATACTTTCGCCCAATATACGCTCTGTTAAGTGGTATCTCCAGGGCATTATTATTTCCAGGAAAAACATCCCTGCTTGGTATCAGCAGAGTAGAGTATTGGGACAGAGAAACAAGACCATAGCCAGAACCTGCAGTCTTCTGCCATAGATATGAATCTGCCATGGATATGAGAGGAGAATTAATCAGCTCCTCTGCCTCGGTGTTTCTGATGTGCCAGTCTGCATCCTCCCCTTTTCCTACATGAACGTCGTGCACAGGATCTGCCTGCTCCCACAGTAGAAGGGTGTTGGGGGAGAAGATCCTGAACTCAGGGCCTTGGCAGGAAAGCACAGAGCAATTCTATCAAACATCTGTTAAAGCTATTAATATACGTGCAATGCCAGCTTGACACTTTGCCTCCGAGCAGGATCTGAAACCAGCTGAAGAAAATAAAAACAATATATTCAAGATGCAGTTGTACTGACTCAATCCAGGAACGTGTTATGTGGAGGTCTGACCAGAGGCGTATCAGCCGTTTCAAAGGGAGATCCTTAAATGCTTCCCCACGCACCTACCCTCTTCCCAGCTCAAAAGCCAACATAGATAAGCAGATATGGCCAAATGCAGACAATCAGATGATTGATACCTTGGTTACTGTTAATATTTATGTCTGGGCTTGCAGCAGGAACATGCATAGATGTGTTTCTGCAGCAGTTCAGGGGAAGCAGGAGCACAAGGACACAGGGAGCTATTTTGGGAAGTGGCTGATGCCACTTCACTGATGCCAGTTGAAGCCTAGACAAGACCAGCTCTGGTGTCCGGTCCTCATCTCGTAGCCACTCCCTGGAGCTGGCCTCTTTCTCGGCCTTTCTGTTCTCATGGGCTCTTTCTCCTTCCAGGCCTGCTCCAAGCAGGATGTGCTTGGCCAGTCTGTGTTGGGGATCATTTGTCTCTTGATCATTCGTCTTTGCTGCCAGCTACATTCACGGAAGGATGATCAACTCCCGGGAGCGCAAGCCAGCGAAGTCGCTGCAAGGTGCAGCACACCAATTCCTCACCCCTCCTCACTGCGGAGTGCACACCACTGGCTGCCTTTCAGCGCTGACACCATCTCCAGCTGTCAGTGCTCCCCGCAGCCCATACAAACCACTCTGCAAGCCACATGGGTGGCGGCCAAGAGGGCTGAGCTGACTTCGGGAGTGGTGAACTTGTTCGTGAGTGCCCAGGTGCTAGAGGATGGTGGAGTCACAGATCAGACCAGGAGGCAGAGCTCATTGCATGCACAGAATTGCTCAGTGCTGCAATTCCAGGTGAAGCTACATTTTCCTGTGGTTTGCAGTGCCTTTCTTCCCCTACCTGACAGGACACGACCATGCACAGACTCACCAAAAACAGTTCGGGCAGGAACAGACTCCCTGTTAAGCCAGAAGGAGACCTGCGACAGGATGACCGTCATGATGCAGGGCAGGTATGTTTGGATCACAAAGTACCCGATCTTCCTCTTGAGGTGGAAGTGCGTAGTCATCACCACGTATTCCCCTGCAAGACAGTGGGTCATAGCAGCAGGAGAGTGGTTATTTCCCAGAACGGGGCCAGCTGAACACCAGCCCATCTCCAGAGTGCTAAGGTCTGTCTTGAGCAAACTCTCAAGCCCTCTGGGTCCATATGAGATGAAACTGCAGCCTGTGTGTCCCATTAACACTGGCTGACATGTCCTAGGACCTCACAGTACTGATGGCTGCCCGCACAGCTGCATGGAAAAGGGACACATGCCGCAGCACGTCACTAGGGCTAAACTGCACGTGGTGCGTGCACAGGGGCTGTGCTGGGCCAGGTGCCCACCTAGACGTAAGGCCACGGTGGCTTCCACCAGCTGGGAGGACAGAGCATTAGTCCTTTCAAAGCACTTTTCTGGACACTTCTTTAATTTGCTGTCAAATGGTAGGGGGACAAAGGCAGATCAATGCCAATGAACAAACAGGCACGGGCTTTCCCTTTTCTGCCCCAAGTACAAGATATGCCTCTTGGGTTTGCTCCTGACACAGCTTCCCCTCCCTTTTCTCCCTCAGCCCAGGCAGCCACGTTGTAGGTAAGGCCCTTAAACCTAGAGAGATCTTAACATTGTGTCAATAGCCTTTCAGGACAAAGGATTTTGTTTTCTATGACAATTCTGCAAATATTCCACCTTTCCTCATTTTAACCATCCCAAAAATCAGGACAAGTTCTGTATTAACGGTTTGAGCCGTAAACCAAAGGACCAGCTGTCCCCGCTTTCCTTCATTGCCCTATTCCTCCACTCAAAACGATGCACTGAAGCTCTGGATATTTTGTTGGATTATTGTGCATTTTTGTTGTGAGCACGACTCTGCTAAGTCATTATGTACAGGAGCCTTTAGCAGCTTTCTTGCCATTTCAGGTTGTTCATCTGTATATTTTGCTGGGCCAGATATTATGATGGTTAGTTCCCTGGACTCTCCGCATTTCTCCAAGGAAGGTGATATGAGTTGTTACAGACAGACACTATTAAAATCAAGTGCACCAGAGAGGAAATATCCTCAAACGAGAGAACTACTGGTGCATACAGAAGAAAAAATAAAAGATGAGAGATATACAAGATAACAGAAGCTACCAGTACCTGGATTCAGAGGAAAAGGGAGGAGCAGCAGATGGGAGAAAAAGATGATTAACATTGGTTACTAATCAGAGGAAACATTTGTTTGGACAATCTTCTATTAGCTATGATAATATTTGTCCAAGAAGATGCAGTGAAAATTATATTGAACATTATGTTAAATTTATCTCCCCTGCTGCAATACTCTCCTGAGGGACTGAAAAGAGATCCAAGACAAATGAACCCATGGTATGGAGAACCAGTTGGGCAAGACGGGGCAAATTTTCCACACCAGAAATCATTTTTTGATGCTTGAAACTAGAATTTTCCAGAGGTATAGGCAATAAGGCTCTCCCAGTGGAAGCCACAGAAAGCTAAGCACTTTACTGCCTCTTGGTGATTGCCCCAGACATCCCCAACTACATTCTCCAAGAGCACACGGCTTGGGAAGTACAGCAGTGTTTCACTGTCTACAGGCACTGCCTCGACGTTTATGCCAAACTGTGTCATTAAAAGTTCACAGGTCCATCCCACCTGACAAAGCACTCAGCCCAGGCATCTCTTCCTGGTCCCACAAGTACCTGTGCTGGATCGAACCATCTCTGTCCCAACAACATGGCCCAGCAGGTCATACTGGTTCAGGCGTGATCCACCCTTTGCTACTTCTACTGATTTATCCTTCCCCAGTGTCCAGGTGTAGATCACCTCTGTCTTCGTGTAGGCATCTGCAGAGCAGAAAGAAGAAAGAGGTTCATGCTTCTGGCTGATCTAAAATATACCAAAATTATCCTGCAGCCAAATTAATCCCTACTGCGTATTCCTTGGAACCACATGGATGAGCACAGCCAAGCACGGCTAGAGACAAAGGCAGTTTAGAAAATGTTAATCAAATGAGCAAGCGGGGGCTGGAGTTTTTGGAAAGGAGCTGGAAGGAAGAGAGAGGCAAAATAGGAAGCTGTTGAAGCCAGCAGGTTGTGAGGGAGCAGGACAGCCACAGCCCTGCCTGGCCAGAGCCTGGAAGAGCCATGCTGGCAGCTGCTGGTGAGAGAAACATCAGCCTGGGGGTGATGGATGCTCCATGTAGATGAGTCCTTCCAGCCGGAGCCTGGCTGTCTCTGGGCCCTCTCATTCCCCTGGGGCAATGGGACTCTCCACCTTCATTTCCCTGCATGCTGCCTTTTGCGTGTACTCGAATGCCCATTGTGGTAGGCTTCCCTCAGCTCCAGCATCCTCCTTTGGGCTTTGGGTGCAACATCACATGCAGAACGCAAACCCAGGTAGCCGAGGTCTCTGTTTTTGCCCAAAGAAGAGGTCCGAAGCTTAGCAATTTGTTTCTGGAGACTGCAGGCTCCTAACTCTCTTTGTCCTTTGGGAAGCCCCACTCGTGACTGAAGTAATGTCATGGATGCATGCATGAAGCATCACCTTCATCCTTGCAAAGAAACTCAACTTCCTCTTGCTCCTGGACTTTCTTCTCCAGGGAGGCAGCCTGCATCCGGCACCGATGGGTGCTTGTTCCCTGTGCTACTCTGCCCCCATGCATCTGCTCCTCCAAGGGTTTCCAGTTCCTGTAACTCCTGTTTCGGTTAGGCTAATTCACTTAATAATCCACAAGTCTGTGGGATACATCCACTAAAGGTTGAACGCAAATGGAGTTGAATTTTAGGCTTTTTAGTTAAGGAGAGAAAGCTAAAAATCTTTACCCTTGCACAGAAGCAACCCTCTTCCAAGCCACTCAGCCTTAGAGGCAGCGTTCCCTTCCACCAATAGGCTTTTTCCATGCCCCTATGCTTGCTGGCCTGCAGGCCAGTCTGCCAGGCAGTGAGGGAGCACAGCGCTGAGACGAGCCTGCCTGCACACTGCTGCAGAGACAGTACGCAAGAGCTGCTGAGCCAATGCAAGAGGCAGTGCTGGGCCCAGAGCCGGGGCAGCCCTCCAGGGACTTGCAAATTCCCCCCTCTATCCCATTTCCCCAGCTCACCATACAGGCCTAAACATGCAGACATGTCTAAAACACACATTTAAAATCACCTTCTCAAGCATTTGTGGCCAAACCCCTGCTTGTCCCCGTGCCAGCTCCCTTTCCCAACGTCATCCACATGCTCTCTGTACTGCTAGCCCTATGGTGTTCAGAAATAGAGTCTCTCAAGACTTTATTAGGAGCTATAGACTCCTCATAAAGTCCAAGCCTCATCTCCACTCTGTACCACCTTTTTAGACAGGAACAAAGTTCACTGTTCAAAGTTCAAGAGGTTTTTCATTCATTTGTTCTATCAGTTTCTCCTGCTAAGACATTAAGGCGTTATCTGTGTGGTTCAGCAACAGGTCAGTTCTGCTCAGGAAATCTCTCAGATCCTGCTTTGTGGAAGATTGTTTCCAGAGACAAACAGATTTCTTTGAAATTTTTAAAATAATCATTGTTACGTCTGCACTGTAGGTTTCGGCAAACCTGTCAAATGCTAAGCAGGCACTGTGAGAAGCAGGGCAGAGTGGTTTTGATGATCAGCCAATGTTTCTGAGCACGCCACAGTGCTGCCTAAGCGCTTCTGATGCAGGTCAGCACCTCTTGCCTGATGTGCAACACTTCTCCAGCCCCTCCTTTCAGCTCTCCAGATGCTCCTGGAGAACTCGTTTCCCCTTCAGGCTTTGCTTTGTACAGCTCTGCCAATGCACCTCCACACTGATGGGTAGCACTCTCTGCCATACAGGTCATGGTTCACCCAGAGCCAACCCTAGTCAACAGAGGAAACCTGCCTGCAGTTTCACTGCCAGCCACTTTGCTGTGATGCCTGAAAATACCGTAGTCTAGTAATCTGGTCCTCTGGGACAGAAGTGTCTCTGGTGTCATGTAGCCAAGGCATGGGAACTTGAATCCATTCAATGCCAGGAAGCTATTTGGTTCTGTTTAATGCCTAAGCTTGCAATGCAGACTAGTCCAATCCAAACAGGGACAGTTCCCTGGCATTTAGTCGAGATAATTACAGCAACCTCTTCTGCTACTCTAGTGTCAGGCAGTTGCTGTACAAAACACCTCTACGACTGGCTCAGAAAGAGTGGCTCTCTGCCATGTACACCCACCTCCTAGGGAGTATGGAGGCTGGTAAAGCCATCATGTCCACTGCACCTCTGGTCCAAGGAACAGTGCAAGCACAAGGCCTGCAGGGGGGCACTGAAGCTGCTTTAAACGCCTGGCCCCCTTACTTCCCCAGTGAACTCTTTGCCTTCACTCTCTGTGTGGCTACCACCATGGCACAGGGCCAGGAGGCCACTGAAGGGCCATTCAGCTTGCTGGGATTGGTGGAAAGTGGTCACTGAGGCAAATACAGCTATCCTTCGAAGAATATGTGTGGTGAAGTAGAGGCACACTGGCAGTGCCCTTCTATGTACAAATCTAACCCACCATAAACTTACTGCATATGAACAGCTCCTAGCTGTGGAGGGCTTTTCGGTGTGTACACTGCTTTAATCCTACTCCATTATACCAGAAGTGTGCTCAGATGCTATTCTGATGGGCTCTTTAGAAATACCCATGCAAATATTAATCAAGGGCAGCTCTCTGAGCTGCTTTTGTCAAAACTTCCATCATTCAGAGGCTGAATCAATAAAAGTACCCAGAAGAACCCCAAGGGGTGTTCCAGCAGAAATACACATATTAATCTCTTTTCCTCACCAAGAGACATTATAAGCAAGTAGATGTGCAGTAATCTGCCTTCATGAAAGTCTTATAATAATCCCAGAGTTTAGGCCTGAGGTATGAGGTTTAACATCCCTTCTCACAAGGTCAATTAACATTAATAATTCATCCTTCTCTAAGGCTTGCTAATTTACTGGCCTTGGTGATGTCTTGTGGCAATGAGTTCCACATTTAATTAGGTGCTGCATAAGAAATTACTTCCTTTTAGTAGTTTTGAACAATCCAGCTTCACGGATGCCTTGTGTTGTGAGGCAGAGAGCAGATGCACATGATAAACATGATCTCTTTTGGTGTCAATCAAACTTTTCAGCTTTCTCCTTAGTTAACTACAAATCCCAAATGGTTATAGGATGGGAAGTATCAGTTTAGAAAGGCTGTGCTTTCTCAGAGTTCAGAAGGGAGCTCGTTGGGGGGGCTCATTCAGCTTATTTAGCCGTAAGTAGGTAACGCTTCCATGAGAGTAGGTAACTCTTCAAGTCAGGCGTAGGTTGAGAGTGGTGCTTCGTTCGTAGGACCTGCAGAGCTGGACCTGGAAATTATTTCCACATTATGGTGAACTACTGTGGTTTGGAATTTGGTTCTCACTCCCTTTGGATCAAAACCAAAATAAAAGATGTGTAATTTGCACATAGGAGAGAGGAGGGAACTTTGTTCCCATTAAAGATATGGGGAAACCCAGGCAGACAAGCAGTGGCAAGCCTGGAAAGCCGGGAGCAGTTTTCAGTTTGCCATAAGCCTGCGAATCCTCCCTAAATCAGGACCCTTGGGTGCTGGGTCCAGGATCAGAGCGTCCAAGCCTTTCACTTGCAGGCAGCCTGCCTTACAGACTGGAGTTTGCCAGATCCACTGGAGCGAGCCTGCAGCCAGAGAAACCAGAGCTTTCAGATCCCCACCAGATTGGCAGGAGTGGTGCAGGGAAGCTGGATGGGACACCAGGCAGCAGATAACACTGCTGTTTTCACAAATTTGAGCCCAGGCCCCAAGAATCGTCTGGTGATGAAAGAAAAGCATTTCAGTTTTCTACCAACGCAGATACTGCTGAGAGGGTACTGAGAGGCGGCGTTGCCTATAAAGGCAGGGAGGGCACTGGGAAGCTGCTCTTCCCACTTACTTATCTAGTAAACTTACAGCAAAATCAGAGGTGCATAACTCATCCTGTGAGCCTGAACCACCCGTGGGTATGCTCTCTGTCCATTCCTCATGATGCCAGAAATTGTATGTGTGAAATACTTTGGTTGTGTTATCATTAGCGATAAAGCCAACATTAATAACACTGTTAATAAAATACGAGACGACACTAGCCACATAAAGGACTGTTCTTTAGCTCTGTACACTCCTCCTTGCAGAGGCTGATCAGGGTACTTACAGCTCCCAAATTTCAGAGGGCAAGCATGCACGTCCATTGGGAAGTCCTCCAGGTGCATGGGGCACTCTGCATGAATCGTTAGCCTACAAGACAAAGGACAGGCATGATCAAAAACACATGGCTGCGGAGGCTCCCACCTGGCCCTTCTGCCATGCCATCTCTGCCCTGCATCTGTCAAAGGCGGCAAAAGCTTCAACATGGTCACTAACCTGTGGGTCTCTGGGCAGCAAGCCATCAGCTGTGGAGAGAATGGTAGGCATGCAGATTTGGCCACCTTTCCTATTTTATAAACTCAGCCCTATTGACTGAGTTCATCTTTATCTACTCAGTGCAATCAGAAAATCTGCCAAAGCCCAGGACTTCTGTTTGCTTATGCACTGTGCACAAAGAGCTCATTAATGCCGGGTGCAACTTGTGCCAGGGGACACCTCATGGACCACGCTGGAAAGCAAAAGGAAAGGGCTTCCAGCGACACAGAACACGGCCTTTTCTTCCAGATGGTTGGAAGGCGCCGAGGGCTGATAGACTATTTAATCAGGAAACTACACTGTTGTTGGGCTTGTTGAACAAAGTTAACCACTGGAGCAAAACAGAGTCATGAAGTCACAGCCGTTGCACCAAGGTGCAACATGCACATGGTGGCTGGGGGGAGAGGAGCAGCTTAGCCTCCCTCCCCGCTCTTCCCTTTTGCCAGCAGCACTGCAGAGGATGCACCCAGGAAAACGCACAACTGTGTTGTCCTTGTGCTGTCTGGGAGAGCGCAGGACAGCTTGTGCATGTTACACATCCACCAAATCTCTATGGGATACCTTGTCATGAAGCAGTTGCTTGAGGGAGGCACAACCATGACAAGAGCAAGGCAGAGAATGCAGGGCCAGACATAAATGGATCTATTGCAAAAGCCTCTCAAAAAGAGTAGCTCTAAACTCATGCTCTTTCTCGGGGTACTGTAAAATGTGCAGTTTTGGAAAGGGAGTAGGGCATGTCAGATATGATCTCCTCTAAAGGATCTGTTTGGTCAGTAAAGGAAACCACTTCTGATGGCTCGGCAAAATAACAAATAAAATGTGGCAGGAGCAACGGACAGATGCAAAGGGCAAGCAAACAGAACTAAGGCTGAAGGTGGCTTGTGGAAAAGTCAGGTCAAGAGGAACAGCGGAAAGCTTCTACTGAGACATTTTCCTTCAGCTGGAAAATGGCCTTATAACAACTGGAAAGTTTCGGGTAAGTTATTCTTCACAGAGAAAAACTGAGGCTTAGGAGAATACAAAACAAACCCTGCAAAAAAACGAGCAGTTTAGATTTTGCTTAAGCAGGAAAAAAAAAAGGTGTGGGTTTCTTTCATGTGGACAAACCTTAAATGATTTGGGAAAAAAATGAAGTTGTTTTTTAAAGTTGGCATCAAAGAGTTTTGCTGGACAAAAACAAGCACTCCTCAAATCACTCTAAAAATCTCTGCGGGAAAACAAAGTAGAAACAGTGCGGCTTGGGGGCTCTGTGGGCCTCTGTGGCCGTGCAGGCTAGGTGCCTGCCAGCTGCCTCGCGCCCGGCCAGCCTGCCCGGCTTGGGCCCTGCGAGGACAGATGCTGCAGCGATGGTTGTTGCAGGGCGGCAGATGGTGCTGTGACAAGCAGGACCTGAGCTCTGTACAAGGCAGGAGAAAAACAGCGAATTGCCACACGACCGCTTGCTGAGGCTGCGAGTGCACTGAAGAGACTGCGCTGGAAACTGCCAGCTAGAAAGTTTGCTCCAGCAGGTGAGGACGCGAACCTTGTGATTTCAGAGCTGGGTATTGACCCACATCCAACCTGAAGGTTATGGTAGTTTTAGCCCCTAGGAATCCTTATCTTCCTGCAGGGCTAAGAAATGCTCCTGGACAGAGCTTCAGAGCATCCCTACTCCTGCACTTCCCTCAGTTGCTTTTCAGCTGGTCCCAGCAAAGCGCAAAACACAGGATGCACCACCAGAGAAACCTAACTTCCTCCAGTCCTCCATGTCTCCCTTTCACCCCATCAAATCTGTAAGACTTGAAGACACATCTGCTGCTTTTAAAGGAGCAGGTATTCCTGACCAGACCTCCCCGCAAAGGACAGGCAGAGACATTACATCAAGAAGAAGAGAAGCAGAGCTGGAAGCTCCGATAACTTTGATGGGGCCAAACCCTCCTGCATGACCAGGAGCCCCTGCAGCACCCACAGCAGCAGTTTAAAGCCCAAACTGTGCCCCAGTGAATCTGCTTTCCACAATGTCAGAGAGGTGAAGCATGCCATCCCCTTGCAGTGGTCACAGGGGTACAGTGCAGCAGAGCAGATTATACCGCGGGGAAATCTAGGACTTATTCTTGTACAAGCTCGGCAAAGGAAAGGAGAGGAAAGTACAGTTTCCTACTGTGCTTCAGTGCTGCCTTCCTGTCTCTTAATGCAACAGAGGTAAATGATCATTTCTGCTCTTTTCAGTGCCAGATATCACTGCCCTGTCTCCACTGGGTACATCCACCCCACAGGGAGAACAGGCACCACTGTGCATGGGAGAGAGCTAGAAAAAAACAGCTCTGCAATAAGGACTGGCTCGGTTCTGGTAAATGGCTCTTAACTACTCAGCAACAGCAAGACATGGTCCCATAGCCCTCCCAGGGACTAGCTATGCTGAAGCCCCGAGGGGCTGGCTGTTGAGTCACTGTTCACTCTTGAGTCCCAAGGGCTCTCAACCAACCCAAGCATGACTGAAACAGTTCTTCATACTCTGGCCAGGTTAATCAGAGCAGGTTTAACGAGTCTACACAGGCAGTCTCCACTTCCGGATGCTTACAGAGGAGTAAGCATCTCCAGAGGAGTAAGCACTGATCCAGACGCGTTCAGAGCAATCTGCTCCTTGCTCTCCTCTCCCAGTACCCAGTGGCTTATGGTTTCGTGACTCAAGGCTGCATCCAGGCTGTTGAGTGCTCTAGAGACCAAGGGCCTTCCCTTCTCCAAGTTTGACAAATCCTTTCTAAACCCATGTATGTGGTTAGCAACCACCCTGCCCTGTGGGAATTGTTCTACTAACCAAGAACTGACAACAAATTTTTGGCCTGCATTACGCCCTGCCCAGCTCAGCTACCTCAGCTTGCCAGAGACCCACTGCGTGGTCCAAAATGGCTTCCTTGGAAACAAACCCCTCCCCCTGACTTGTGCTATTCTTCACCTCTGGATCGAGGGTATCTGTTTCGCGTGACAAAGAAGCAGAGCCGATCTCTTCAGATTCTCCTCCAAAATCCACTAAAGTCAATGGAAAGACTAACAGTGATTCCACAAGCCTACAATCACACTGCTGAAATGATTCTCTTCTCAAATACCACCACCAACCAACTGGTCCTTCCATTTGATGCCTCTCTTTAAGCTGGATGAAGATTAGGATTTCAAGAAGCAGGTATAAAAACTTGGCAGCAAACAGTAGAATAGGCAGCTTTGCTCTTTGTGTTCTGTTCCTTGCGTGACGCTTTCTTCTGTCAGCTAGAAACTTACTTGGGGAACGTCATCGTTTGTAAGCGCTTTGAGCACGTCCTCACAATCTCGCTGTTCAATTCTTTGTTTCCTTTCCAAGCGCAATGGATTTTTTGCTTCTAATATTTGTCACTGTCATTGGCATAAAGATAATGTTGGTGCCTTTGCGCACAAAATACAGTATTCCCCCTGCCTCCCTCAGGAGGTCACGCAGGCCTTTTCCTTCCTTGGTTTCACTGATTGCTTTGTCGTTTCAAAAGGATCTTAGCTGGGTGTCCCCAAAGTCAGCCTTTCCAAAGAGCCTCTCCTCCTGATCAGCACTTTTCTTCTGACACGTTCTGAATTCCCAAAAACCAGAAAGACCTTTTTCATCCACTGGTCTGGCTGCAAATTTTGGCTGTAATCAACAGCCCCTGGATAAAGCTGAAAACAGAGAGCTGAAAGGCACCAAGGGGCAAGTCCAGTGCTAGAGTGCCGTTTAGTGCCACCAGAAAGTGCCGCTGAGGCCTTTGGCCTGGGTCTGCCCTCACGAGGAACAGGACAGCAGCAGCAATCAGCTGGGCACAAGCCAGCCCTGGCTATGCCCTCCTCTGCCTGCTCTGGGCCACGTCCGACAAGAGCAAGCACTGACAAGGGAAGGGGACAACTTTATAGTGATGCTGGAGGACTCCAGAGTCGTGTGGGAAAGTAGCAGTCACCATTTTAAAACTAAAGTGTGTTTTATTAGCTGAACCAGTTAACAATGACAAAAACACAATAAACTCATCAACAAACCACTAAAAAAGCAACCTTATCTGCCACCTTCTCCACCCGCAACTGCAGGAGTTTTTAAGTCTCCTGAAATTAAATAAAAAAGAAACAGCCAAAACACTCTAGCAATATGAGTCTGTTCAGCATTTTTGGCCGGTCAGAAGTCAGCACATTTACAGATAATTTGCGAAGAGAGTGAGCTTTCTTGCCGAAGGGGAAAGGCGTACAGGCGTTCCCTCTCTTGGATGCTCTCCCTCGTCCGTCCTCCCTTTGCTGTGGTCCCGCGTGTGCAGGGTATGCTGGCTCTCCAAAACGTCTTTCCCACGGTTCCACCAGTGCGTGCTGTCACTCAGTCCTCTGTGGCCCTCGGCCTCTCACACCCCTCAGCTACCTACTACCCCACCACCGGGTCCTTCTGCTCCAGCCCTTCTTGCACACACTTAGCTTTCAGAGCACTAATTAGCAGAGGTATTTATGTGGGTTGGGGAGTCAACCACTGCTCGGGAGCATACACCTCACCCCCCTTCCGCTTTACCCCCAGCCTTTTCTGCCCCAGCTGGTTTCTGGCTAAGGAGTCCTCAGCACCATATGCTTCACCTAATGAAATGTCAAAACTTCAGACTAAGAGGAACGTGTCTCACTTCCCAGGCAATTACCACAGCCTCTGCAGTATGTGGGCAAAAGAGCCTGTTGCAGAAATGTTCTTTACCCCGACCCTATACAAGGGAGCTTATGGCCAGGTAGCCGCAGAGGTTTGCTTCATTGCTCTGAGGCCCTGTTCAGGTCCAGACATCTGAGCCCTGACATGTCATTTTAAAGCCTAAACAGCATGTGAAAAATGGCCAAGCTGCTAGCAACCGCATAATCCAGCTGTTCTATCCTTCGGCTCATCTGTCCCAGTCTTATTCAGAACTGTCTTGAAATCAGACTGCAAACTCTTTGTGCTCTCTCATCGCTTCACTGGCACAACTGCACTAAAAGTGGAACATCCAGGAAAGAAACCATGTTTTTCTCTTTAAAGTCATGGGAAGTCCTTTGAACTGCTCAACACAATGGCAAGAAGCGTGAATCAGGCTAAACGTACCTCTCCCAGGGCTGACGGTACAACAAACCTCTTCAGCTTCGTTCTCATGGTTACCAGGAGCTTAGCAAAGCCTTTGATGTGTCATTAGAGCCCCTGTCGTTACCTGCGTCGTGCTGCAGGATGAGCTAGAGTCTCAGTCCAATTTCTGGGACGCAAATGTAATAATCCCTTGGTGTATACGTGGTACAAAAACATGACAGCACCCTGCACGGCAGAACTCACTTTGTTTATGCCAGAGATATTGCCTGAGCCTTGTCCTGATTTCTCCTCTAGGAGGTCTGTTAATAACCAGTCAGGCTGAATAGGTAGTGTTTATGGTTTAGGCTGTGTGCAAATCTAGGTTAGGTTTAATTGCTCAGGTTTGAGTTTGAAGCCAAATTGCTTCTAGGATCCCTGAGCTGGATCTGACCACACTGAATTCTCACTACATCCTCCCCCAGCCCCAGGAGATTTCAACTCATGATGGCAGACATGCAGGGAGTTAAGGAGATCTCTGAAGATTCCTGCCTCTTGGGATGACTTATTTTCAAGAGTTTGCCTGTACAAAACCAAACCTAGAAAATAGATCACTTCTGCCTTTGGACCCACTCTGGAAACTGTATGGCAGAAAAAAGCTTCAAACTGGCTGTGCACATTTCATATATTCAAACGCTTGTGTGGTCAGCATGCTAGCTTTCGTCTGCTCAGGTCTGTTTACACTATTGTCTAGAACCACCTCCAGTGAGAGCTCAAGGCAAACTAGCTGCCCATCCACATTACCAAAGAGCTGGGGCGGTGATGTCTGAGCTGGTATTCTTGAAGAAGGTGAATTATGGTTGCACCTCAAGTTTACAGGCCCCTCCGTCGTGTGGATGGGTTTTGCATGCTGCAGCCTCCAGCTGTCCCCAAGTGCCCGGGGTGAAGACACCAGGCAGTAAAGGCAGCCTATGACCTTTGGTGGCAGAGACCCAGCAAGGTCCTGGGATTTCAAAGGGTAGTCTGAAAATCACAAACTTCTGAGCATGCTGCAGCAGGTACAGGACTTGCTGCCAGGGGTGTAACGGCACCAGTGGGTCTGCCCGCGTGACGCTGTTATGCTGGGCAGAGACTGGACGCATTTGTGTCAAGCCTTCTCTGCTATCCTGCCTCCACCTCAGCAAGGGGTTCACCGACTGTCCTTTTCATGTCCTCACACACTGCCACTAAGGACTTTGCTTTGTCTTTAGTAATACAGGTTCTTAAGGCAAAGTCTTTGGGCATACAGTTGAATGCATCAGCTCAGCAGTTGGAGAAAACATCCTTTGAGTGCACAGCTTGAGCACATATTGTCTGGGAACCACTCTGACAATAACTACAAAGCCTCAACATGGCACTGTGACAGTCGCTGTGAAGAGCAGAAGAGCTCTTTAAAGCCTAGATTCACAAGTTGAATCCCACTGGTACAGCATCAAGCTTTCACTATTTTCATGTGTTTCAAGGCCAGGAAGAATCAGAAGATCATCTGTGTGCTTCACACAATCTGAGCCAGAGATTCCATCGAGAGACTGCTTCAGCAGCTGAGTTTTTGTATGTACCTTAAGTAAATCCACAAGCAAGTCCCAGTTCGTTGCACTCAACTCTGACACCAGAGCGCTGAGGCCCTACCTCGGCTTTTGTGAACTACTCGGATCTTGTAGAAGCTCCAAAAACAAGCCTGCAGAAGCAGCAGGGCTACATAATAAAAATATGTTCTTCCCCTGACCCTCTGAGGCATGCAGAGTAGCAGGGAAGAGGCAGAGGGAACAGTAATCCTGTCCATTACTAAGCAGCTGGAGGGGGAGTGGAATAGAGAAACAGTTTTCCAGTGCAGTCACAAAGGCCATCTCGTCATCCAGGTGCCAAGGCCTGAGTCAGTGATCAGAAGTTTGCACTGTGACGTCGCACTGAGCTACAAGAAGGTTGTGTTGTGACAAAAAGAAATCCTTGGACGCTCAGCTACAGCTGGCTTGTAACTTCTTGAAGCGCAGGTCAGTGATAAAGAGGCTCTCTGCAGGATCTATAAACATTGTCACACAGGTGTAATTTTGTTGGATGCCTGTGTCAGAGCTGCTGTTTCACCAGAGCAACTTCATCTATAAATGCTCGTCTTGACTAAGAGAAGTTGGCTCTCACAGCAGGATAAATAGCAAGACATGTACCTCTAATTGCTCATCAGCAGAGCTGATCCCTCAAGGGTATGGGCCAATACAAGGTAAAGGAGCGGGAAATATCTCAGGAGTCAAACTGCATGGCAATGTACACCAGCAATGTACCGGTTTAGACTGAACCTGCAAGGCACAGCCTGGAAAAGGGCAGCACATGGTCCTACCAGCCCAGGGAAAATCTGATGGAGGTGCAAACTTGCCCCAAAACTCCCTAGTCAGCAGGACAGAGTGTGCCAAACCAGTGGCAAAGCCAGACGGGACCCTGGTCTCTGAGCCTCCATCTGATATACAGCCCTGGATCATGCAGCCCATGTCCTTATACCTTCTTCCTTTTGAACCTCCACCCCAAAAAAACTGCAAAAAAATTTGTGTGTGACCCAGGGCAGGCCTTTCCTTCGGCAGCACAGAGAAGAGCAACCATCACATACGCCTGTCCCGAATGCCTCAGACAGGAAACCTCGCGAAGCCCTGCGCTGTCCCTGACACACTGTCTGGTGCGGTGGGCTGTGCTTTCCCAGTGTGCTGTCCGGCTGGGACTAACCACACCTCCAGCTGTGGGTATCTCTGTGTGGCTTCTTAGCCACTTGCAAAGCCTTAGAGGTAACAAAGGAAAAGCTACCTCCCAGGTCACCTTGCATTTAAGGGGAGGCAACAGCTGACACACAGGCCCAAACTCTCCTTCATCCACCCATTCCTTAGCAGCGGGTTAAATTGAAGGGTTTGTTGAATTGATTTAAAAATCCTATGACTTCACTTTCTTTAAGAGGTTCATTCTCAATAGTCTCGTGATGCTGCCATCCCGACACCTTCCAGCGTTATTGCCTAGCCCTAAGTGCAAGAGCAAATCCAATACTTTCTCAGCCACGCAACACTTGCTAAAGCTAATGGTTGTTTGTTGAACAAAAAACAAATGAAATGACATAAAAGTCCTAAAATTAGGCTCTTTTTTGCTACCTTCTGTCAATAGCTCCTGTAAGATTTTACCATTAGACAATGATACAAACAGGGGGAGTTTTAGTCACCCACATGCAGACCAGACAGCCAGGAGCAGTACTGAGCCCTTCAGCTAAAATGGGCTTCCCCCTTCATTTACCATGTCTGCCTCAGTGCACTTATCTGTAACATGAGATCACTGACGTTCAGAGACCTAAGCCCCCAGGGTGCTGGCAGAACTAGCTCACATCAGAGAACTGCTGCACAAATGCCTGTGTTGTTTATCAATGGTACTTGTAAAACTTGCTGACATTATGTAGATTCACAGCCAGCTCCGCCATGCAGAGACGAAATTCTGTCTGGTCCTTAAAAGCAGGTGAACGTGCAGCATCTCAGCACACAGAATCCTCAGTGAAGTGTGTTCTGAGTTAGGATCTGCTTGGAGATAGATGCACAGAAAATAATTTTTGAAAACAAAGATTCACACCTCTCTATAAATACCTCAATATCTTTCTCTTGTGTCTATGAGTAGCTTGTTGTTTCATTTATAGGCCTGCTTACCTTGGAAGGTAAATCAGTATATCAACCACAAGTGGCAAACATTATTTACGTAGACGAATAGCTTTCAGGCACACAGGAACATCTGACGAACGTGTGTGTGCAGGGACCTGGAAGACCCTGGCCCAGGAGAAACAAGCTTACCTCATGGTGTACAAGAGGGTGCCATTGTCCACCAGACGCAGCAGTTTGTTAGGTGTTGTCATGTTATGGGCTACAGACTTCTTGCCGTTGTGAAAGAAGGTATCAGGAGTCCAGATCTTACTGGCCAGCAGGTTGTTCAGGGGAAGTATCTTCATGGGCCCATCAAACTTCAGCCTCTCATCTCTCCAGGATTGCCGGAAAAAGACATCAATGGTGTATTCCTTTGTGGAGAGAGGAGAGAAGAATAACTCGTTTTACCCAGCTCTTCATTGCAAGCAAGGTGGTTGAGGAAACGATAAATGTCTTCAGTCACTGGGTATACCGTGTTCAGGCACCTTCTGGTTGATAATGAAGCATGATGCAACAAGAACTCAGGATCAACAACAGCAGAGAAAATTGTAGAGGATAAAAGACATTTGCTGCCTTTGTAAAATGACTTTAACACAACACCAAAATTTGCATCTCGGTGTTTCTGACAGCAGTGGAAAGCGGCCAGCCCTGGGGTAGCCCTGCTTCTCCCTGCTGCACTGGCACCTTTATACAGACCTCGCAAGAGAGGGAACCGTGGTGTGCAGCTGCACAGGAATTTGAACAGGCAAAAATCAAGTTACCTAGGATGGAAATTGGGCAGGATACTGGTAACTCCACCCTTATACCTAAAATAAACAAAGTATCAGGACACCTTTTAAATGATGTGCTTCCCCCAGTCATCTTTGCATCAGTGCCTTTCAAGCAAACCACTGAATGAAGGCCTTCACAAACTTGTCATTACAAGATATTGCAACTTTTTTTTTTTTTAAACCAGCATAAGCATAAAAAACTACTTCTGAGCCCAAATTCCAGTTGGAGTGGGATGTCACCTCAACCCCGCAGCCAGGGCAGTAGCCAGTGGTGTTGACAAATTTGATTTTTGCCATTTGAGCAGAAAGGCAAAAAAACCCCCCAAAACTCTGAAACACACCTGAGCCTACGGGAACAAAATAATGCCGTGGGCTGGGGGTGAGTGAAATGGCTGGTCTTCAGAACGTTGCTCTGCGCCTTTGCCCCTCTCCTACCATCAGGACGCCCATTGACTGCCACCTCTTCCTCCCACACTCTGGTGCCAGCGCAGTCCTCGCTTCAGTGCAGGGGCAGGACATTGGGGCACCACCATCAGTGGCCCTGCAGATTCACCCACGGTTAGGATCTGAGGGCCATTGGGTGGCCATGTCCCACCGAGCTGCTCACTCCTCTCCTCTCCTGCCTGCCTCCTGAAGAGGAGCTATGCCGAAGGTACCACAGCCATGCTGGGGCAAAATTAATATGAGGCACACGGGAGTACCATTCCCACTAACCCGAGCCAGCCCCATACCCGCCCAAGGTTGGCGTCACTTGGGGGAACCGCAAGAGCTGGTTGGCATCAACTTCACCACTGCCCAGGCAGGAAGGCAGCCTGGAGCCGCTCGCCTGAGCTACATGCACCTTGGCTTGCTAACGAAGCAGGGCTCATTAGCTCATGAGGCTGGCAGAGAGATATGAGGGCTTTGGAAAATCTATTCCAGTTCTTGTTGCAATGCCGCTGCGGATTCATAGTTGTTATTTATGGGTTCCCGGAGGCTACTGGACTAACTAAACTTATCTCTGTGAATGATTTCTTTCCTGCAGCTCTTCTCAGCAGAATTTAAGAGCTGCAGCACATCAGTTTCCTATAGGTCACAGAAATTTCTGCAAGATTTTGCAGCAGATGGTAGCTAAGTGAAAGCATCTAAGTAAAGAAATTCATCCCTGCTCCCTGGCCATACAGGCGCTCCTGCCCAAATTTGAGGTTTCTGCATTCTGGCCTGAGGAAAGGAAAGAGAAGATCCTACTGTCTCACAGACTCTGCTCTGTATAAGATACTCTTCCCCTTCATGGAAGGTTGTCCTCCCCTTGGGGTTTTAAGCTCGGTAAAAAAAACAAAACAAAAGAACGAGTCTGTGTGCAGCCACAGGCGGTAGGTTTGGGAAAAGCCCTTATCAGGAGAAGGGCTATCTTACTCAGAACCTTCTGCTCTTATTAAAAAAATCAACCAATGAAACAAACAAACAAAAAACTTGTTATAAACAACACCTTCCTAGGTCCTAGTTTTCTTCTTTTACATTAAGGAATCATTCCTGAAGGAAAGAGAAATCATACTGAGATCCTACCCCTCTTCTCTATTCTTCTTTCCAGGAGAGCATCAATTCCAAGTCCCCACTTCCAAGGAACATGCCTAGCTCTAGGTCATGTTCTTCTTCCCTCTACAGAAATAACCAAAACCATCAAGATCCAGTCCTCCTTTTGAGTCTGCCCTCCAAAGCATAAAATTTCTTTGACTTTCTTTTTTTTTTTCATTTCCTGGGAACTAAGGCAAAGCTGAAAAGCTTACTACTCAAGATTTGGGCATACGTCAGGTCCAATCAGGCTTGACTTTACAAGCCAAATGGAAAGTGAGATTAGAAGTCCCTCGGAGCATCTTGGGGAAAAGGTCTACATGTTCTCCTCCATGGTTTGTAATCAGCTGCTCTCCTCCATTCTCCACAGCAACTTCACCTGCCTCTCCTCCATCATCATAATTGCAGCCTCTGTATGCATCAAGTTGTACAAGAAAGGCTTTCCATCGCAGTGAGTAATGGCTGTGGGAGGGATGGGATCAAGATCATCAGGCAGATGTGAGCATGGAAGGAGGGACTTTCCCACTTTCCAAGATAAAAGGAACCACAACAGAAGAGCGGGCTCTCCCCACGCTTCCTGAGGAGATGAGGTTTCTCTCTCTCACATTTCTGACTGCATTTAACACCAGGACTGCATGCTAAAACACATTCGCTATGCATTTGTAAAACACACGGAACTAAAGCATGCAAGGGGGGAAATAATTTATTATTCTTTAACTGTCTTCCTAATTTTAAATTCATTTTGTCAAATCACATTGCAGAGAATACCTTCCTCTTTTCAATACCTCATATTTCTTCTTCACAGTTCATTATACACACTCCCTTAATCAAATATGCTCCACCTTGGAAGTAATTATCAGATACTCCCCAAGGGGTGAGATTGCTGAATATATTATGTGTCTCTGCTGTGGTATGAAAGAAAGCGAGATAGAGAGAGAACTCAGATGAGATTAATACTCTCAGCTACAGTGACAGTAAGTTAGCCTTTAACCCTGGAGGGAGTGGTCCTTCCAAAGCAATATGGGATTGTGTGATGGGGCTAGCACTGGCATGAAATGCATTTAATTCTCTTCAAACTCCTCCGCTCGCTAGAGCAAGACTGTCAGTGGGGTGGTTAGAGAGATGTTCATGGCCAAGGGAGCACAGAAAATGAAACCCTCCCAGCCTCAGAGGGGCTGCAGAAGGCCTCAGGACACTGCTCCTGCCTGTGAGAGCAGTGCCTGCTCCCCGCCTCGCATGGGCTCCCTCCAGCTCCAGACTCCCCTTGGTGGGTCCAGGAGTACTGCAGCATCACGTAACCTCCAGGACCGGGCAAGCAGGAGGGCCTCAGCCCCTAACGCACGTGCCTGGCCTCACGCGGCAGCCTTGAAATGTAAAGCAACTACCACCAGCCAACTCTTGTGTGTGGGTCTGGCTGCATGTGGAATACAAGCTGCAAGAAATGCTTCCGAGAAAGCTCTCTATTAATTATGCTCCACAGTCCTGCTTTAATTAGAAGACAAACTGTTGTGGGAATACAAGCCTAGATTCAGACCTCAGGCCTTTTCATTAATAATTTTCCCCAAACATGTCAAAATATTCCAATCAGTTCACTCTTTTTTTTCCCTCTTTTGCCTCCCTTCTGGTTCAAGAACTCAGGACAGTCAGTGGGGGGGAACTCTCTTTTGGCACCGTCATCAAAACAGGCCAGATTCGGACATTCTCCCTTCTTCCTATGAAGCACCTCCCTTCCTCCATGCGGTCTGACTAAGGAAGACTGGCTACAATGAAGGTGCTTCTCAACGTATGCGAGCAGTGCAGTGTGCTACATACTGTTTTTGGTCTCTTGGACCTGCCTCCCCATTTCATTGCCTCAGGCTGCACTTACAGGAAACAAAAAGACCCTAAAGACTCCAGAGTGCTCAAATGATGCAAAGGTGTCAACCCTCTAAGTTTGGATTTGGCATTTTCATTTGGTTTTCAGAAGTTAAAACACATCTAAGATATGATATGTTTCTATTGCCTGCACCAAGAGAAGATGACTAGGCACGTTCCTGCCCAGGCAGGCAGGATGCTTCGTTATGTTCCTGCCTTTACAGAAGTCCTGTTTTTTCCTAGATCATTGGAGCTGAGAGTGGGACACCTCCGCCATCAATGTCACACGTACTGCCCACCCCCTTGGGGGCACACCTGCCTGGCCAACAGCACCTACCATATCCGTGTCCGAGACAGGGCCGAAACTTGTCACGTAAATGTCTGTCTTGACTTCAGTTACACTGTCTGGGACAAAAACAGAGAAAAAAGCAATTAGAGAATTGAATGCATTTGTACAGGGAAGGGTTTTGCATTTTTTCGTGTGTTGTTTTTTCATGTCAGGTGCCACCCTGGCGAAGCCCTCAACAAGTTGGTATTGCGCTCAGTAGCATACCCTAAACAATACCTGATTTGACCATTCATAGTTGGGCAAATTCATCTTTGATGTAACTATACTGCTTTCCACGCTTACACCATGGATGAATATCCTGGTATAGTCAGAGTATGCATATTTACAAATTATATGCAGCTGTACAATACATAACACTGTAGAGACTCACATATCTTCAATACAGAGGTAAACCCCGATGTTGCGAAATTCTCTTTAATTTGAAATCCCTTTGTGTCTCTCAGCCTGATAAATAGCCTAGGAATGTCCCACCAGTTTTAGGAAACCCAGGTTTTCTTACAGCTTCAGGCTTATCTGTATGTAAAAGAATCAATATTCTGATTGCTTTTACTCCCATCACGTTTGCTGCTTTCCTAAGTGCCTCAACTCCTGAAGAACAGCTGCTCTTGCAGAGGTAGTATTTATATGGATCCTATAATCATCTATAGACAGACTATGCTCCTCTTGCAGATGCTGAAAAACAGTTTCCCTCCGGACACTGCCCCAACAAAATCAGGAGACCTTAATTCCTGCTCCAAGCACTAAAACTCACGGGCAATTTTAATCATATGCCTCCAGGTAAAGATACACTGAAGTGCTTTCCAGAACGTGGCTATCATCAGGTATTATTCACACCGAATAGCACATGCAGCTCTCATTGTGACTTCCATCATTATCATCTCAGCACGCCTCCTAAAGGAGATCTCTATCATGGCCCTATTTTGCAGGGAAATCAAGGCACAGCAGGATGGGGTGACTTGCTGTGGTCACCTGTCAGAGAATACTCTGCCTGCTAGGACATACTGAAAGAGCCAAATGAGGTGCCTTGAGTTTAGCACTGCCACCGTAAATCTTCATCACTTTAGGGACAGAGCACATGATTGTGCTCCTTTTGTATGTTGTTAATTGGCTCAGAGCTGCATTCCCAATGAAAGAACCTCTTCAGAGCCCCAAAGAAGAGTTTGCGTTTTATCGGTAGTATCCTATTTTGGCCACTGCAGCAGCTATGTTACTTACTCGACTGGATGGCCCATTGCTCAATTCAGTTATGGGAATTCCTGTGTCCTCTGATAGTTATTTTGAAATATCACGAAGCTTAGTCTTATGCTTCAAAGTTTTGCATATAAAAATAAGATAATGCATTCTGGCAGAGTTTTCTCCTTAATGGCTAAAACATACATACACATGCCTTCAGTTATTATGGCTGGAGAGCTTCTGACACAGCCTGTGGCTGATATTGCTGTGCTATATATGTAACCCTTGATCTTGTCTTGATGCGATAAAAAGAAGGTTAAAGAGAAATATGTATGCAATACACTTTCTGAAATGCATAGCAGTCAATGAGGCAGCTTTTTAAACAAAAGGAGATACTTTTGTAAAACTTAAACACTCCGGGTTTTCTCTCTGTGTGCCTCCAAGCAAGCCCCTAAAGGAGATATTCAGCAGAGAAGACAATTCTAGCGAAGTGATGTTCTTCAACACATGCAGCTAGAGAAAACTAACTGTGTTTTAGAGAAAAAATGAACTCTCTCTCTGCTCCCCTCTCCTTCTCCCTTTTTGGGTGTTCAGATTGCCCAGCACAAATAATTTACATCAACAGATATCAGATCAGGATATGTAGCCACCCATGACCAGTGAAGTCAGTCCTTGTGATGCGCAGAATGAATTACCTTGCAAATCCAAGAGGAACTGAGCTGGGAAGAGGGACGGGGGGGTCCTCGAAGGACCTGTGCTATATGACATGACCTGCAGGATCCAAGCATTGGAGAAGTGATTCAGGAAGCGATGAGCAGGTGAAAAGGCAGAACTAATTTTGGACACTCTTTTATATGACCCTGCTCTTTTTATTTGTTAGCTGGTATTTGGCATAAACCCAAGAAAACGGAGCGTGCACAAGTTTAATTTTACAAAAAAGGGGGGGTGGTTGATTGATTTTTGCTGACGCTTCTCAGAAAAGCAAGGGAACTAGGCAAAGATATTGTCACTGTATTCTTATGAAGCAGAACAGCAAAAACTGAGAGAAAGCTGGCTGGTTATGATTTAACCCTGGATGGGTCTGATGTCATCTTGGCTTTTGTCCCAGTGCAGCATACTGTAAGCTACCAGTCAGAGAGCTTCAAAGACCCGTTCCTCCCTGCAGCCTACTGGCAAATCTGATTAAAGACAAAAGAGATAACATCAAAGACAATATCAAGATCCTGTGTTAGAAAAACTTGATGTAGATTCTCCCGTTCTGTTAAATCCCTGCTGACCATCGCTCGCGGAGACTTGCAACGCAGGATGGAGCCATGCGCCCAGTGCCAGACCTGACACATTGCTCTGAGGAAGACCAAGAGATTGCTTACAGCAAGTCACTCGCAGACATGCTCCTGCACAGCATGGCAAAGGAACGAGATCCCCTGTTCGTGGAAGCCCTTCAGGGAGCCCAGTGAAGAAGGGACCAAACGCACTTGGAAACACGTCATTTCCAACTTTTCAATATGAGCTGTCAGGGTCAAGAGGTATTCCTTGTCCTGGGTATGCTCCTTCCAATCTCTTAGCACAAATAATGCGTATTAACAGTGCCTGCAGTGAACAAGACTTTCACTGTGCCAGTGATGGCAAAGCAAATCATAACAGAGACAGACAGAATCAACCGTCACAACATGTAACTGTCGCCTTCCACCACCGTAACCCAGGGACCGTGGAGAGCATCTGTTTAATTCAACCTGTGAAACCTCATTCAAATGGCATTAGATAAAGTGCTGTGCAACCTTGTCAGCTGGGACTGAGCTACACTCGGTGCCATCACAGGAGTTAGATGATAGAGTTAAATCCAGTATAGCCATCTGCAAGGTCTTCAGCCCAGGAGTGGCTGGGACATCAGCCTGGCTTCCAAAGCTACCTCCAAAATATCTTCAGCTGTCCCTAACTCTTGGAAGAGGTTTTAATAGAGAGACTTGGCAGGGTACAGGGCCATAGCAGTTACGCAGTCTGTTTCCCCGAGACATCTTCATCCAAATCCTCTTTAATCCGTCACAGTACCAGCACTCGCCTATCTTTCAGCATGGGGGACCACAAAACGGTGTTTCCTCTGCCCAGCCAGCCACGGAGAACAAGCTCAGTAGGAACACCCTACTTCAGCTACTGTCCTTTTTGGAAAGAAGGTAAAGAGAGTTCAGATTTGAGCTTCCCAGCTCACAGAATAAAACCCACCCGATTGCTCAGCTCTTCATCCTAACACCACAGATGTCTGGAGAGATCTCCCATTTCCAGACTCCGTTCTGCCACTCTCGCCTGCCTTCCCAGTGGACAGACATGCCACTCGGGCAAGGCCATGTTGACCCACTGAAGTCAGTGAGATCCCTTTGCACATGCAAGGGCAGCTGCAGCTGGAGACAAGCACCAGAAGGCTGGAGCTCTCCTCTCTCAGGCCACTTTTTCTATGGTACAGACTTAGGTAGAGAGGGCACAGACTTAGGTAGAGAGGCTCCTTGCACCCTTGATGCCAAAAGCGAGACTAAACTTCCCAGCTATTTTGTGCTCCCAGGGCAGGGCAGGATCGGGGTGGGATCTGGAGGGATTTCTGGAATTAAATCATTGCTGTGCAAGAAGGGATTCCAGTAGAGCAGGCAAATCCAGAAACCAGTAAAAAACAAGCAGAACAGAGTGAGCTACGGTCTTAGAAACGCACTTCCCTTGTGTTCCTATAGCAGCATTACATGAGCCCAAACTTTCACATTGGTCATGGCACTGCATGAGCCCATCAGCTCTGTAAAAGTGAGACGTTCCTCGTGAGAGATGTCACAGGCTGCTCAGGCAGCTTCCCCGCTTCTTACCCTCATATGCACACACTCTTAACCCAAACAGGAAGAAATCGTACCTATTTTTGCAACACAAGAAAACTAAGAGAGGAGCATTTCCTGCCTAAGCCCAGGAGACATGGCAGGGAAGTCCTTATCCCCTTCCTCATCTGCAGACCCAAACATCTGTTTGCTGCACCCTGACCATCTTGCCCAGTTCTCACCAAAGAATTAATAGCTGAGGGCTGTACCGTAGAGGGTTAGGTATTTTCCCTAGACCTGTTACAGAACGTTAAATAGCACTTCTCCTTCCCAAGCACCTTCCTTCCTTGTATCTCAAAGTTTTTCACATGCATAAGTGAATCAGCCTGCTGGGGGGCAGGCACATGCTGCTAGTGCTATTTTACAGGTGAGGAAACAAGACAGGAGAGACTTGAGGCAGGAGGCTAGTACAGAGCAAGGAATAGCATCTAGCTCCAGAGCAACAACCCATGCTGGTACACAGGGGCCTGGGGGAGGACCCAGTATTACTCTCGGCATATTACAAAAGCACCTCCAGCTGGGCTGTGGAGACTCACCATGCCCCCAGCTGCTGGGAACCGGGAAAGAGAAAAGACCATAAGGCACTTAATGAAACTAGAAGAGCAAGGGATTTTCAGGATCAGCATTTAAACATAGGCAGAATTTAGACACCTAAATGCTGTGTCATGATCCTAGAACATTTGTGCAAGGGTGACTCCTATCCCACTTATTATTACAGGCTTAGTTTATTCCCAGGCCTCAGCGTACTTGAGCTTCTAACCCCATCTGTAGCCAGCTTGTGAGCGAGGGCAGGCCGCTGTGGGTTGAGCAGAGCGGCCCCTTCTCCCACACGGTGCAGAGCTCTTCGCCAGCCTGTCCCTGCAAGCCAGGCAATGCTGCTTCACTCCTGCGCACAGAAATCCCCCACAATTGGGCAGATCTGCAATGCAAATGTAAAACTAAAGCTGTAACATCCATTCCCCCAGTGTTACCATGGCACTCCCTACACCTGCCTGCTCTTTAAAAGCTACCCTTCTCCAAGAATTTGCTACACC